CTTGATAGACTCCAAAGCATGCAGAACTACCGGGTTCATCCTCCGAAACTTTAAAACTAGGGGCATCAGAATGCGCCTTTACAACATATACGTTAGACCTGGTCTGGAATACTGCTCGTTTTTATTTAGCCTAATGCGTGCTACTGAGCGGAAGAAAATAAAATCCGTTCAACACTTTTTTACCAAGAGAATTTTAACCCCGGAACACCGACATTTGTCTTACCAAGAACGTTGCCGGCTTACGGGCCTTGCTCATTTATGGTTCCGTAGAATACAAAAGGGACTATTTTTGCTATTTAAATTCCTATATAATCACACATTTAATCCACTCACCTCTTTCAAACATCATATCCACCCACGACGTAACAGTCACCGTGAGGTCTTCTTATTTCTGCCTCTGGCACGTACCGCTAAACATCGTCGGTTCTATTCTGAAAAGGCAATTGCTATTTGGAAAAAGCTACCCATGAGTGTGAACACTCTGCAAAATTATCCTTTATCTAAGAGAAATATTGCTCGATATTTGCATTCAGAAAAGTTTCCACAAATTTTGCGTGCTGAATCCACTGATAGACTCTACGGTAGCGATGACGTTTGTGGTCTCTGAACACTATGGCCGGTCTGACCAGCTGTTCCTCAACGTCTCTACTTTGACTATCCCCAACTTCATGAAAGGAATTGACGTCCGATAATCTCCGATACCGTGCAACCCCCTCCCCCCCCCTTCTTGACGGTCGAATATATACCGCCAGCAGTTTTTTTTCTCCTGAACCCTCCAAACCATAAAAACACCATCAACTATATTTGTATTTTTCGGGAGTTTTTTTTCACTGCTGGTTGGATTTGTGTTGAATCGCTTCCCTTGACAATGCCTGTAAAGTGGCATTTAATAAATTAAATTAAATTAAATATGGATCGCCTGCAACAATGGTGTAATGAGTTGTGTCTTAACCTCAACCTGGACGAAACAAGATTACACCCTGTTGGAGGACGGGCAGAGAAGAGAAACCAAGCTGGTCGGCGAATCAATTTGCTTATCTGATGAGATACGCTTGGAAAGACTAGAAATATTTATTATCTCTTATAGACAGTAGAGAGGGCATATGATTGTGGCGTTTAGGATCGACCGAGGGCTAGGCCGTGCTCTTCAGTTTGACGGTTTCTTCGAACTGGCGCGGGCGACCAATCTTCGGGGTCACCAACAAATTAAAACTGGAGTATAGCAAACTTGACGTACACGCCAAATTCTTCTCCCATCGGCTGGCTGAAGGATGGGGTAATATGAAGAACTCCATTGTCGTGGCGGAAAACGTTAAGGCCTTCAAAAAAAGAACAGGGAAACTTGTGCTTGGTGCATGCTTTTTAAAAATCTATCAGTAAATAAGATTTTCCAAGGCTCTGCTTATGTCCCTCATATACGGAATTATACTGAATTTATATCTGACACATGAGTGTTCGTAGGCAATGAGGCATTTATCTAGCTTTAAGATTCTACATAGTTCATGTAGAAAGATAACACGCAGTGAAGAAACCTGCCAGTTTGAGTATTGAAAACTCGCAATAGCACAACCTCCGCCCTCTAGTGCGAGACTGTTGTGTTTTTCTGAATTGAAAATTAGCAGCGATATTTCATATTGCCTTGTGTAACTTTCAAGGATATTGCATTGTTTTTTTACGTAATTCTTTCGACTATTTCTTTTTGAAAACAGATCTTCAAGTCAGAATATGTGCTACTGCGTGGGAGTAAGCGCGAAAAACGAAAAGTGCCCGACTGGTGACGAAAATATGTGCCTCATATCCACACCCTGGCGGAGTCGTTGCCGCTCGTGACATGCAGTGTTGTGTACGAGAAGATGTACTGGCCCCAAACGTAAACCGCATGAGGATTTCAGTCACACGCCGACAGTTATGCTGGAATGGCCACTTCTTTAATGTTAACTTGCGTGGAACACCGAAAAGGTCGTCAGTCGATTCCACCGTCGACGGTCTTTGATTATTGGCTGCCCGGGACACGAGGCCGATCGATTGTCTGTGGTCGGAAAGGGCGGCAAAATTGTAAAGTCATTTGGTTACGAGGACGTATAGCGAAGTCTCTGGGGACATCATCTGTCGCACTATCGCGTAATCTAGAAAAACCAAAATAAGAGCAAGTATCAAAAGAAAATGAGGCGTTTACCGGGAGAGGTGTATTGGAGGTCCGATGTTTCGAGAATTTGTTCCGTTACCCATCTTCAGGGGCTGGGAGGTCATGCGCATAACTCTCCTTATATCGCGCATTTTGTTGATCCGTAGCCCGCCAATGACGCCTGTGCGACTGCACCCAACCCGCACGTCACCGTGATCTGAATTGCCCCTCGCCCTCGTTGGCCGCGGAGGTAGTTGACAGGCCTGGTTGTACCGCGCCGTGACTGTCCCCCGTTAAAAAGGTTCTTAAAGTCAGATAAGGGGGGAAGCAAATTGATATGGTGGTTGACAGAGCAGTCGGTGGACATCTAGGCTTCTTGCACCTTCCTTGACGTATGATTATCGTCCCGGCCCACAATCTCAACGTCCTCAAAGTTGAAGGTGTGTCCCATTTGCGTGGAATGGGTTGCTACCTCTGACTTTGGGTCCAATCTTCGCAGGGCCAACTTATGCTTTGGCATTCGCGTTTGTAGCCGTCGGCCGGTTTCCCCAATGTAGTTGCACCTCCGGCAGCTGCATTGAAGTCGGTAGACGACAACCGACATCTCCTCCTCAAAGATCGGGTCACTAGGACGCATAACTTGCCGTCAGATTGCTGTGTCGGGTCAATGGGCAACGCCTAGTCCGTTTTGGTCTTTAGAACAGGTATGTTAAGGGGAACGCTGCGGAGGAATTTTGGACACGGGGTGCCTGAAGCAAAAAGTCGTGGACACAGAGTAAATTCGGGAGGACTAGGAACGAGACGGAAACTCGACTCGATTCTAATTTTAGGGCACATATAGGGCGCAATACCCCACAGTTTCAACACAGCGGGGCACGAACAGAAAATTCATACGAGAGGTGATCGTCGAGGTAATCATCCTCCAAAGAGAGATTCTACCGCCGTCACCAATCTGTAACCACACGAAGCCCTAGATCCGACGGTTTAGGCAGAAGAGAGAGGTCCGTAAGAAGTCTTCTCAACAAATAGAAATCGAATAACAACGAAGTGAAAGTGGACGGCAATAAAGAAACGATTAGCTAACAACCTTCCTTTCAAATAGTCGTTTTGTGCAACCCATGAACCCCCTTGTCGTTTTAAACACTTCCCTTCCGACCTAGTCTCGGTCTGTACGACCAGAGCATTCATCGTCGATGTTCCCAAAAAGTAGAGGGAATTACGTATGAGGTCTGTAAAAAACCTTTCAGCGCCCTGGTTGTCTTTGAGAAATCGCCAATCGCCTATCAGTACTGGCAATTTGGGATAATTGTTCTTTTTATGCGCCACAAACTGCCGTCCCCGGTCCTGATGGCGATGCTGTAGAACACCTCTTCACTGTTGGCTTTTTTCCGTGCCTCCAGCGTTGTGGTATACGTCTTTGCCAAGGTCTAGACTCATGCAAACTCACTAAGGCAGCGATTAAGAGGATGCGTTTCAACCACCCAATCCGGGTGTTGATCCGTTTCCCTTAAACAGATTGACACTTACCGCAGATCCCTGAAACCATATTTAGTGTCGCTCCCAGTTTCGGAACAAATGTCCCCTAAGTTATTTAATGCTGCGGATTAACCAACCGTCGGGAAGAGCGAATGCACGAAATCGTTATTTTGCTCATAAAATCGGTCCAACCCCCCATTTCCTATTAAAAGTTTGGTAAATGGCGAGACGACCGCATGGGTGCTAGATAAGTCAATTTACTTATTATCTACTTCTACGTTACCTACCAAGTTACGTAAGGGTGGGTTATACCATAACCCTCGGATTCTGTCAACTCGTTTCTCCGTTGCAGAGGCGGAGTAATGTAGCAGCCGGAACTTGGCTAGTTTGAATGCATCTAATATTAACACTTTAATTATGGAGATGACCCCACAGCAATTCACTAAAAGTCGTAGTTTGGAAGGCTGACAAGGGATAACTCAGTTCTCATCGGACGGAAAATCGGGCTGAAGTGGCTTCTTAGTGTGGGGACCAGATCCGCTCCGTTCTTGTTTATGTGAAAACTTGGTCCATCGTGCGCAGACAAGGTGCGGGCGGCACGTGTATGCGAGTTGTCCAGTTTTATCATCGGCTTCCGCCTTCAGTCTTCCTTACTTAGTCTTGCCACCGATCCCAGGAGATCGTGCTTCAGAAGATGTACTAGTCTGTTATCTGTATAAGCTATTTCACATACAAGCCACTGTCCTGCACCCACCTTGCAGTGGGGAACACAGTGAACATCGTCATCTGTGACAGTCGAACTGACGCAGTAGTGTGTTTGACGCATGCCACGGTCGCTTCCCTTGTAGCAGACCCGGTCTCCACTCTTTTTTATCGAGGCTCCTTGTGTCGGTAGTACCGTAGTGTTTTTTGTATTTAGCGTTGGCCTTCAAGTTCTCGTCCCTTTCGTATTAACGCCTTGGCATACATCCCCTGGTCGTCGAAGGATACCAGGCCATTTCCGTGCAGTTCTGTTCCCCTTCTCGGGATTTGAAATAAAAGGTCTGCTTACTAGTATGTCACCTTGCCAGCAATCCCATTTTGGGGTATCCGATTAACTTGACACGATAAATGCTTGCAAAATAAACCAGCTCCTTCAGGAGCATGCTCACGCAGAGAAACTGCTTTGGAGACGAACAGCATATTCAGAGAGAGTGTGGTCACTGCGCCGTACGAGGCCGAGGGAAGGGGTCAACTTGTCACTGACCGCTAGCCGGGTTTGTTCATCAGGAGTAGTGAAACGGAAAGTGTTTTTTTGCAACTTTACGTGGAGTTCCTTTATCACATTTACCTTCGTAAATCAAGTTCTTTGGCTAAATGCATGTTTAACATTTGTAGGTGCACTTGTGGCTTTCGAACAATGGACCCAGTCTCTCAATCCTGTCCCAGCTGCAAATCAAGCAAATATAACAACCCACAACTGCGGCTTATGGTAAATGTCTGTGGGCATTCCTTGTAAGCTGACCTTTCATTACCTGATCCCCTATTAGGTGCGAAAGCTGCGTAGAAGTTCTGTTTGTAAGGGGTTCAGGCCTTTGCTTCCAGTGTCGTACCCCAATACGCAAGGCAAACTTTCGCTATCAGCTCTTTGAAGACCCCGAAGTTCAGAAGGAAATTGATATTCGCAAAAAGATTCTCAACGAGTAGGACACATTAACCTGCGTCTACATGTATCACAGATTCAACCGGAGGGAAGAGGACTTTGAAACCATGGATGAATACGACAAGTACCTGGAAAAAATCGAAGAAATTAGTAAGCCAACCACTTTTTGATGTTTCAGTTTACAAGTTGACGAATGACATTGACGTCGAGGAAACAAGGAAGCTTGTTGAACACTACAAGAAGGACAACAAAGAAATGATAAAGCGCAATAGAACAAAGCAGGTCAGTCAGAACCTCCTGTTTTTACTCATTTATCACTGTTGGTAACTCGAGTCATACGACAGTGTCCAAAGGTGCACCAGCAGTTGACCACAGCTTATTTTCGTTTTGGCCTTCACAGATTCGTCTGGGGCACTGCCTATCCGACTATAATTAGTGTCATTGTCACGTTTACTCGCTCGCGGGACTGCCCGCCTACATAAAACAGTCCTTTTGTCGTTCTAGAATGGCAATTTCCGGTACCTTTGGAAGACCAAGGACCTGCAATAAATAGGGAGGAGCATATTTAAACATAGTCACACAACCTTTTGAAATATTTCGAAATTTCACCTAGAACGTCTACACTATGCCACATCAACGCCTTAATTACCGCCAGCAAGTCTTATTTGTCCTTCATCAACTGTAAAAGCCTGTGTTTGCTTAGGTGCGTTTCCTGAACGAAGGTGATGTAATCCACGCCCGCTGGATCTGCGCATGGTGTTTATTTGCTGGTCTTTCCTTGTTTACCGCAACGGTTTACATTCACCACCATTCGCTGTCATAGAAGCGCCATGCTATTAACTCCTCTACGAAGCGAGTTGTTCACAGCAGGGACATTAATTCAAGAATATTCGGTCTTTGTCCCCTAGTCGGTTCATGCAAAACTCGCTGAATGCTACGCTGAGTTACCACAGTTTCGGCTGAAACTTGAACGGCTATCTCCAGATGTACCTGTAAATAGAAGAGATCGCCTAATGCTGATTGCAGTACTTATAGGAGTGTAATATAACATCTGGGCCGTTTGCCCTCTAGAATGTTCTCAGCCACACACAGTCAGTGCGCGATCTCATGGAATGTTCACCGAAATTTTGGAGTGCGTTTTCGCTTAGTAGGGATTACTTAAGTCGGGTTACGGTATTGATTATTGTGTAGCACGATCCCGGGATATTTCTGTCACGCCAGGATGTTGGCTTTCAAATGTATTTCTCGGCGGCCTGCGAAAACCATTCAATAAAAGTGGCTACTTAAGTGGTATGCATTTTTCTACTGATTTTCTGTCCTCATAAATTAAAATGCACTTCATATAACACATGTATAAAAATATTTTTCTTGCACTCATTTTACAGGCGATCACTTTTCTTTAAACTATAAACTCAAGGGAAGGGTATATTTAGGCTTTAAGCTTGTAAATTTCCGAATAATTTTGAGCCCGATATACCATTATGTTTACATTTAAGGTTTACAGCGCAAGAGTTATCATACATTCCT